AGTGAAAACTGGGTTGAAGCTGCAGTAATCTAGACAATACGACCTGGATTTGAGAATTAAAAGCAAAACATGTGGGTTTACCAGACCTTTTTTTTTTTTTTTAGATGTGATCAGATTTGAGATTCTTGCAAAACTGAAGCAGTAAGAAACAGCCAAGGTTCATTTGAATATCACTTGTCGGGGTGACAGAGGTCTAGTTCCCTTCACATGAAGGAGGGCCAAACCCAAAACTGAAAAGCTTTAACCAGCATTGGCTCTTTGTACAAAAGAGAACAGAAGTGACAGACGCTGGGGTGTAAGTCCATACTCTGCTCAACATGGCTGCAAGAAAAAGGGCTGCTGTTTTTCCTTCAGGTGGAATGATCAGTGTAGAGTAGAACTAGGGTTTGGGGTGGGGGTGGGAGGGTGTTTGGGTTGGGTCCATGTGCCCCCTGCTCCGAGTCCTTAGTCGGATTTACCATTTTCTTGATATGCTTGGCTACACGAATGACAAGATCTTGGCATAATGCTTTACTTCCTACTTCAAGCTCTTTTTCTGTGTTCAAATAAAACACTGATGGCAAGAATCTCAAAAAGTCTCTCTTAGAAAGGTGACAGATGAGCTTCAATGTGAATAAGGTAATTAATTAATTGCAAAATCTTAGCCATACCTACATGATGGCAAACACAGAATTGGTAGTTACAGATTGGGAACTGAGAGTCCTCTGACATCATTGGCTTAGGGTGCAGCAGCAGCCAAAACAGACAAGACAATGTTGGGCATCAATAGGAAGTGTATATTCAAAACAAAATAAAGGATTTTATGTTGCCACTACAAAACCTCAGTGCAGGGCTGGTCTCTACACCTCAAGATGGATGTAGAGAGTTTAAAGAAGGTCTGTAGGGAAGTTAAAGGGCAACTAAAATCATCACTGGTCTTCAGCACTGCCTGTTTGTGAGAGGCTAAAAAGGCTTGGGGCTCATCTGTTTTAGAGAGAAGGCTGAAGGAGGTGTTATGATGTAAGTTTCAGAATCATGACTGCAGAACTGTTTTTTCACCACTTGTTCCTGCCTTACTAGAATTTGGGGCAATTCCTGAAACAAATAGGAGATTAGTTTAAAACAAATAAAGGAATTTCTGGAACTTACTGCCACAGGAAGCTGTGGACATAGACAGCAAAATAAAAAAAAAAAAAATCATAAGTTATGGACAATTGATCTATAAATGGATGCTGAAAACAGCTAGGAAGAGATGCACTCCCATATCTGCTACAACAGTTCTGGACAAGTGAGTGGGGGCTTGGGAATATGAAGGGAATAAATTGCAAAAATTGGTCATATTCACATGCTTTCCCTTAAAAACAAAACAACATGAAAGTCCTATTGTCACTGTTGGAGACAGAATATTAGGCTGATGGACCATTGCCATGAGCCAGTAGGACACTGCTTATGTTCCCATCTTGAAAAAAGATACTGCTTTTTCTATCAGAAGTGCAGAGCCTCACTTGCTAGACTGTGAAGTTATGTGAGAGTACAAAACTTTTCATTTTAAGAAACCTCTATTTTAGAGCCTTAAGCTGGCATTAACCGCTGGTCTCTATTTGCATTGGAGCATGTGCTGTCTGCAAGTTGTTCCAAACACTTTGAGAAGCCTTTCTGCTGCAACAGAAATTGCAGATAATCAGGCTCCTTTAGAAATGCTCCTGAACAAATACTAGTGCAGTAATTTTGGCAGGTGCAAAGTATTTCAGTTTCTCAAACTCAAAATGGCTGCCATAAGAACAGTAACATGCATCCCACTGCCCATGCTTTTCATACATCTTACTGAATTGTAATCTGTCTCTCAGGTTGGAAGGGACCCTGGGAGGCCTCTAGTCCAACTGCCTGCTCAAAACACGATCAACCCTGAATTCAAAGCAGGTTGCTTAGGGCTTTGTCATTTGGGTGTTGAAACCCACTGACGACAGAGTCCACAGTCTCTGAACAACCTGTTCTAATTCTTAACTAGCCTTGTAGCAATTATTTTCCTTTCGTATTCAAACACAACCTTGTGTTTTGTGTTATGATCAATGTTTCTTCTTCCCATGCATTTCAGTAAAGAACCAGTTCTCTGTTATCTTAAGGCATAAGCCCTTAACTGTCTTGGTGCCTCTCCACTGAAACTACTCACGAATATCTTGTACTGAGGAAGGAGTGAGGTAGCAAGCGCAAAATACGACAGATGCAGGCTAACAAGTGCCAGATAAGAATTGGTTCCCACGATGTACTGGCTATGCCCTTGTCAATACAGCCTAGTGTGCTGTTAGCCTTTGTCACTGCTCAGGGACACTGCTGATTCGTGTTTAGCCTCCCGTGTGTCAGGACCCCCATGTCCTCTTCAGCAGTGTTGCTATCCAGCCTGTTGATCCCCATACTACAAATTCTGTGCTACAGTGTTTGTCTGTGCTCCTGGCTGAGACAGACATTTTTCAAGCAGACAGAGAAGTTATGGAACTGTATGACTGTCGATAGACTTGTTGCATATATTCTCTACAGTACATTCATGTTTCTTCCTAGTAGTCTGGTTCCCCTTGGATGTGAGTACTTGAGACAAAAGGCAGGCAAGTGTAAAGCTGCGGGTCAAAAGAAGTGTTTCTGGAAGGTCACAGATTGTGCATCCCTTCATTAGAATAAGAAAAGATAACAATTCACTGTTTTCCCAGCCACACTTTAGGAATTGGCAAACGCTGTGTCTATTCATGATTTTTTTCACCAACAGTATTTTCCACAGACTCTTATTTGGTGTTTGGAAAGGCTACTGCCTAAAACCATGAAGCAATGATTTTGTCATGTTACCTAAATACCTGAGTATCTAAAGGTGTGTTGAAGTCTTCAGGAAAACAGTTGAGGTCATTGGCTTGGCATTCTGAATGTTCAAAACAACTAACATTGCGTATCAGCTTTATAATTTCAGGTGAACCAATGGCTTAACTGTGCAGACCTTAAAGCATATAATTTCTTATTCTAATATGAAATTTGTAGTCACTTGTACAGCGGAGCTTTTTTTCTGTGGTGAGGGTGGAGAGAAATCGTTGGGTTTTGTTTTGTTTTTCTGTGTTTTATTTTCTCAGTGACTAAAATTGATAGCTGTTTTGGAAACTTCATGTGGCAGCTAATCTGATCGTATTGCAGGATATTTTCAGGGATAATATTTTTAAATAACACAAGAATCTCTGTATCAGGCTTTCTGTATCTAGGTATACAAGCTAGTAAAAAATATTTATTCCAGATACACATTACTGTCTAGTATCTAATATTTGGCATAAGCTGATTTTGCTTACAGCATGAATTATGCTGTGCAATTGTGGAACTTTTTGCTTGGCTTTACACAAGCAAGTTCCTCATGAAACAACTGCAGCCTGTGTGTATGTGAAGAAAATGGAAAAAACCTAACAGCAGTACCTGTAGTTACAACAAAAGTTTAGATCTACAGCATGCACCCATATTCCTAACAGGGATGTTTTGATATATATTAAAAGCTGGAGCTTTTACATGCTGTTAACATCTGATTTGATAGCTGGATAGCATTTGATAGCATGATTATGACTCTTGTGATCTTTTTTCCAAACCCTTTTTTATTCTCATCTTTTGTACAAGCCCATGGTAAGTACAGAGATTCCTTCTTCCCCAAATGGACAGGTAAAATCTTCTATTGGTGTTAGTAGCAAGGACCTAGGTGCACTTTTTATTTATCAAAGTGAATATTGCTTCAGATTTCGGAAATGTCAAATACATTTGTGTAAAGAAGCTCTTCAGGCTTTTTCTTCTTTCTGTTTTCCAGGTCTTTGTTACTGTGAAAAGTCGCTTACAAAATAGCACTTGGTGCATCTTCCTTTTTAAGCTTCCAGAGTGACATTAGGAAGTTTCTGTAATGCATTTTTAATGTTTTTCTGCATCCTTAGGATTTTTTATCTTAATACTCTTAGACTGTCAAACTGAGCCTGAGGTAGTTGCTAATAAAAGCCAGAAAAAGTGAAATTCTAAAAAAATAACCTCAGGAATGTCTTCCATGAGTTGCAGTTATTTTCACTAAATTAACAGGGGACTTGCCAGACTTTGGGGCTTTAGATTTTACTTTTGAATAGTTTGAATGCATGGTTGTAATAGTTTACCATTCCACAGTGCATTCTGAATTAAAATGTTGTCTTATCTGTTCGTGGTCTGACAATCATTTTTGACTTGTTTGATGTTCTCTTAAAATTGAAACTGCAATCTATTTATGCCGTACAAAGAGAAGTTTCTCTCATACTTCTTGATCTGAAATCTTATTGGGTCTGAACTAGATAATGAAAAGACACTTGATCTGCAGTGTAGACAGAACTAAGCATATTCTCTGGGGTTGTTTTGTTTTGTTTTTTTCCATTTGGCTGTGTGAAACTGGCAATATTCACTTGGGACCCTGCTCTTTGGGATTGCGGGAGGGCTTTTCTCAAGTGAGAAGTTAGGTGATAAGGGAAAGAATGGAGCTGTAAGAGTCAGATGTGAAAGCCAAAAGTGCTGTAAAAACAAATAGGCCACTCTAGAAAACTAACTATAAACCATCCTTGTGGGGATATTAAAGATGCAGTAAATAGCCTGGAGGCATCTGTCATTAGTGATTCTAGGTACCTAGATTATTAAGCCTTAAAACTGAAATACTCTGAGGGTGGAAGGAGAATTTTGGAAAATTCCAAGTACTATTTAAGATGTTCTTTCAAAGATCTCTGCTTGGGCAGCCAGAAATGAGAAGTCACTTTGTTCTGATTCCAGCTGAGTTTTGAAGCTATCATCAAATGCACTGCTTCTAGATCTAGCATTTAATTTAATCCAGGAAGAGTTCAATGAGACATTTCTTGGAAGTGTTTGGGGTTTTTTGTTTGGTTTGGTTGTGTTTTGGTTTTTGCTTTGTTTGTTTTTGGTTTTTGTTTTTTTTTGTTTGTTTTTTTTTTTACTGCTGGACTCTTCAGCTCTGATTAACTGTTAACTTCCGCTTTTTCTAACAGATCAAATGTCTAAAAGGCCAGAGAGACTTCTCAGACCAACCCACTTTTGATGGGATTCACATTGTCAACCATTTCACAGGAGACGATGAATCATTTCATTCTTCTGATGAAGATTTTATAACTAACTCCATACAGGAGAGTGGGGTGAACTTTCATCTACACAGGAGGACTGGTCAGATGGCTTTGGATCACACAGTTGTAGACAGCAGTGACAGCGATACTGAGGAAAGTGTCCTTCAGACTGGGAATTCAGACAAGATGGTTTCTAAGCAGAGAAGAATGGAATCTTACTCTACTACTGTGTGATTATCACTGACTAGCATTGAGGACTTTCATATTTCTTTAAGGGTGAAATTGTCAGATAACTGAAACTATCCAGCAGTTGGTTTAGGTACCTATTGGATCTGGTCTGGCCTGTGATAAATATATACACGTACTGTCTATCTGCCTTCTCTCTTTGCCAAATCTTGCTAATGACATACCATTGCCATAAAACAGGCTGGGAAGAAGTTGGTGGATGACAGTTCTGACAGTATTACTGAATGTTCCTTGGTTTAGAAACTGCAAATATATCATTTCTTTAATGCATAAGAACCATTTTTGCTGTTCACAAACACAGCAATTTATTTTCCTCAAAAGAAATTGCTGTTGTGCAATATTTTATGCTCTGAACAAATGTGTATGTTTTACATTGTTATCCATTTGTGATCAAGATGGACCATAGTAAACCATCTGATCATGACACACACACACATATATATATAATTATCCTACGCCTCTCAATTACTTTTGTTTTTACTGAAGTTATTGGATGCCCATAGAAGGCTTGAAAGAGGAACCTTTATCTGTACTACTCCACATATGCAAATAATGGTCACTAATGTCATAAAGGTGTTTTTCACCATTTTCACTTAAATCTATGTGCATCTGCTTTTGATGTTGCTAAATAATACCTGGTCTGAATATATTAATTACAATAATGTTTATTTTGTACATATTTATATATCTACACTAAGCTGAAAATGTACATTACACCATTTTATATGAGGAATGTAAATGTTGCAATATTACTGTCTCTGGTATTCTAACAGGAAAATGAATTCTGTATATATACACTAGAAATGAATTACTAAATAAAGGCAAAACACTAACTTTACATTAAGTTTCAGCCTAGCTACACTAACAGGTCCGTGTCAGAAATGCTTGTTCAAAACACTATTGACTGAAATCTTTTACCTTCATATATATGTAATGAAAATAAATTTTTCATGATTTAACAAGGTTGCAGCATTTACTGTTTAGTCACTTCTAAGCTACAGCCCTTGGTTACCACGTAGTTACTTGTTGGCTATAGATTAGAGTGGTAGTTCAAATAAGGTGAAAAATGATTGATGTCTTAGAGTTAGTTCTAATGACGGCATGGTCAGTGCAGTAAAAATATGTAAGTTCAGTCATCTTACGGTTTTATATTGCAGAGCTGTCTAGGAAATAAGCTATTGGTCCTGTCACCAAATAGCTGTGGTTCACCAAAGCAGTACAAGCTGAGCTGAGCATTCTGCTTTCACACACTCCTGAAAACTGAGATCCCGTAAAATGGCCCTGGCTTCTTGAACAGAACAAGATATTCTACTATTGTCATATGAACACTCACTTGCCCTCTCAGACACATTCTAGTCAAGAATATTCTTAATGGCAGCTGTTACTGCCATCTTAGGTAATTAAACAACCCTTAAGACTTCTTTTCTAGCAATGTTTGCAACTGTTCTATTAATAAAAAAAGAGAAGCCATGCACAAGTTGGTACTGATGGTTAACATATGTGCTGACTATCTTGCTACCCACGAGACGCAGTGTAGTTGTTTAAAATTGCAAAAGTGTGGAAGCATACTACTGAATGCATCTGCTAGTCCTGTTAGGCATTTCCTTTGCTTTTATTTTGAATGTGTCCTCAGAAAGAAAGAGCACAACTGAGGAGGTAACAAATGTTCAAAGACTAATAGGGAAGGCTGCATGGAAGAAGCACATTCTGGGCCTCTCAACAGTATTATCTGCCCAGGTGCAATCTAATTTAAATCTTAGAGCAGGTGGGTGGCAAATTCCAAGTTACTGATTTTTGCAGTTCCTAAATTGCTTCAGGATTTCTGCAAAATTTCCCCACATCCTACCAGTGACTATGTAGTTCCCGGTATAACCTGTGGGAATTGCCATCTCTGAGGTGGATTAGCTGACTGATGCTGATCCCTGCTGGAAATTTCATCTATGCAAAACCAAATCAGGAGCACTTTTGTTCACTAACAAGTAACAGTTGCCTTTTTTTCCTTCCAGTGAGCATCTGGTGACTTATGTTTTGCACCTGGATAACTGTTGCCCAAGAGGATAGGTGACAAATGTCTTGTTGCCTGTCATCAATACCAGCTGCAAGTCTCTCTTAAAGGTAACGTTCTGTAGTAAGTGGCAGGAGCAAAATTCAGTTGGAGAGCCATAAAAATCCTGTCTGTTTGAACAGTGAAGTGTTATGATTTTGCAATAACTGCCTTACTGTTCAAGTGATAGCAAATGAGATTAGTTGGCAGGGGTTATTTCCTGAACTTTTGTGGTTTTAAAGTATACTAATAGAATAAATACTGATACTGAATAACATCATAAATAAAAATATCAAGGGAGAAGCAAAATTCCTTATTCAACTAACTGCATCTCTTCTGATGATGAAGGTGAATCACTGGACATGCTGCAGTTTCAGAAGACTTAGTTACGCACAGACTATCCTAGGAAGACAATCCAAGAGAGGCTGTTCAGAATCATCCTGCTTTTTCTGCAACTATTATGCATAAATTTAACAAAATCACTTTGTAAATCTTGTACTATTGAACTTAATCCGTACTTTCATGGAACTGCAACACAGAAGGAATCGTGTTTTTCTCTGGGGTTTTTAATGTAATCACTGTTCTATATCAGAGACTATGCTAGTGACTTAGTGAAACTTGATGTTCCTACAACATTTATATTTTAATCTAGAATGACCTAAAGATATGTTAGCATAAAAATATCCACGTTTTAGACTGGATGTGCTGCTAATTCCCTTACCTGTAGAGGCTCCAAATAATCTAAGTCATTTTGAGGGAAGGTAGAGGATAATGCAAATCCCCTAGGAAAGTCATTAGGCTAGTCCTGGAGACTTAAATAAAAAAAACCAAACAACCTATAAAATAGAGGTTAGTACAATCTAAGTGGAAACTGCAGTGTTACATCTAATTATGCACCAGCTACTGACTCTGTGTATTGAGAGGGAAGATGAAATCTATGTATCGCTAACAGATTTCTGGATTTAATGAAGTTCATTTTTGTTCTGTGAAATAGTTTTATCAGTATAATTGCACCAATATATTTTTTCTAATTCTCTGAGGGGTTTCGTGGATTTGGTTTTGTTTTTTGGTTTTTTGTTTGTTTGTTTTTTACAAACGCAGTAGCCTGTAGAACCAGAGATTCTGAATGATAGAATGAAAAGCACACAGTAAATTGACTTTCAACATAACCTCTGTATACCATGAAGTTTCACCTTTAGAGTGGCAAAAACATGCTAACATTTGCATGGCTACCCAGACATGGACACTGATTGACTAAGATACAGCCACTAGATCCAAGATACAACAGCTTAACACCCTCCCTTTCCAGGAATTCATACCTCATTTCACAGTTATGAAAAATAAAAGCAATGTGGCATACTCTTAGAATTGTATACTGTTGCATAAGTGACTGAAATTTCTAGCGGCTCACTATGAGAACTAAAATTCCTGAGACCATTTTGCATAATCAACATTCTGTAATCTGTTGATTAAACTTTTTTCTATTCATAATGGAGGTAAGTTCTGGGTCCACTCCTTCCCAAAGCTGGAATCGCTCTTTTCATCCCAGCCTTCAACACCACAGCCTACTGTCACTTCCCCTCTCCAGTTCATGCTCGCAGTGATCATTACTTTTCTAATCTGCTCTGGGAGCAGCAGCAGTTACTTTGGTTTCCCCAGCGATCCAAAAAATGGCAATGAGAATCACTGATTAACATCTTACATATTTACAGCACATGTTTATGCCAGACAGGGGACGGACACACAATAAGCAGGATATGTTAAAAATAATTAAATATTTACAAAAAAGTTATAAAAAAATACACACTTCCCAACAGAATGCACAGTGCTACAAGTTCTAGCAGCTTCTCATAGTGAAAGTGTTCTGGATAACTGTGATCTTGGGTTTTACCACTTTCAAGTGCGCGTGTTCCCCACAAAATCACCCTCTTTGCTGCCTTCTCCCAGTCCTAACTTCCACACACAAGAAATTGCTTCTCCTCCCCTACGTACCAAGCAGCTAACCTGTCAAATCCCGTTCTTCAAATCCTTCCTCCTGTTACAAAGTGTCTCATCACTTCTGAACATGAAGATGTCATCTGCATCCCATCACCTTTGGTGCCTTATCTGATGTCTTCTTAGCTGTAATGGTGACATCAGGCAGCTGCTGTGAACAGTGCAGTAAATTACATTGAGCAGCTCTTTAGTCTTAAGCACGACTACAGTGTAATCCCATTCTAGTTTAAACCCCTCCTTCTATTTATTTCTTCCCCTCTTTTGACACTGTGGGGTAATGATTGTATACTTACCACTGCATTCCACTCTATCTTACCAAGTTTTTATGTTTCTCACTCCCGTTGGGGGAAGCATTAGAGCAGCTCTGTTAAAACCAGCCCCATCACCTACACTTCGCATGAATTACATCCCTCCGCCAACTCAGGACCGTTGGCTTTTGGCTCTTTCACACTGAGATACAGAATAGTTGGCATTGTCACGCAGCTCTTGCAGTGTCACATGATGACCACTGCATACACAAAACCATCTTAAAGGTTACTGAACTGCGGCACATAGGTCACACCATAAACCAAGAATAAGAGCTTAGTCTCTTCACCTCTCTTCAGCGTGCTGTTACTACAGATAGGAAGCTCCTCTCGGGGGTGGAAAGAGCCCTGGGACAGTGGCTGTCGGAGGCTAAGGAGTGGAAATTGCCTTCGGGCTCTACCTACGGACTGCAGCAGCTGCAGCATTTTCTTCCAGTCCCTTGTTCCGTAGAGATAGCAACCCAGCGATATTTCTGGGTTGCAAGATAAAACGCGTGCGGGGCGTGCTCCAGATAAAAAGGGCTGGGAGTCCACAAGATGAAAAAAGCTCATGCGTTACAGCACGAGCCGGGGCCGGCAAAGCCCCGGGAGCGGGAGAGGAGGCAGCACCGCCCGACAGCCCCCCGCGCCGAGGCACTCGCGTGTGCGGAGCA